CGACCAATCAGAACCTAATGTGGGTGAACTGTGAAGGCAGAACCTAAGGTGGGGGCTAGAAGGGGTTTTAATGGCAACAGCTGTTTGGAGTAAGGTATAAGAAAGCAGTTCAATTTTTTTCATGACTGGTTTGGTAGTTTAGTGCATATGGCTAGCTATCAGTCTAGATATAAGGATTATGTGTTTTTGTCTACCAAGAGCATCTTCTCCTGCTGAAAAAGGCTTCCTTCCTCCCGCCCCCATTTAAGAAATCCTATCCTATATAATCTATCTATACTACTAAAAGGATAATATGCTAATTATACTGGGTCAACTGGCCATCTTCCAGATGTCTGACTTTTTTCCAGACAATGCCATGGTGGCAGGGGCCAAGGCAGAGGCAGTTAGAGGTGATCAGGTGGGCAGGGGAGTGGAATTGGGGGCAAGATCAGTCTGGCAGGGGAGGGCAACCAGGCCATCAGGAGAGGGCAGTTCGGGGTGAGATCAGGCCAGTGGAGGGGGGAGGGAGTTGGGGGTGAGATCAGGCTGGCAGGGCAGGTGAGCCGTTAGAAGACAGCAGTCCCAGATTGCAAGGGGGATGTCCAACCACTTTTTTAAGCCTGATCCCTTAGGGAAGGACATCCTCCAAAGAGTCCCCCAATTAGAGAGAATGCAGGCTGGGCTGAGGTACACCCACCCCCCCATGCACGAATTTCATGCATTGGACCACTAGTAATGAAAATAAAGGAATTGAGTAAGGGAGTGTTGGGCTGGTAAGAGCTCACTGACATTTTTCAACCATCCAGATGATATGGGGTAGGAGAGGCAAAGAAGAGAGTGTCCTAGGATAACAAATAATGGATACTTTTCATAAGTGGGACAAGCATAAAAGGTAGTTTCCACCCAGAAGGACTATACTATCTAATCAAGTAAGCATCTAAACAAATCAGCAAGGGCTAAAAGAAAAGCTGTTGCCTTGCAAGCAATGGATCTATTAGTGAATCTTTCTTGGAAGAAAATAGCTGGAAATTAGTCCTATCTTGAGTGGTGATTGCCTACAAGGAAAGTACAATCACTTCTTCTTTATGGAGATGATCCAAATAGTTGCAGCTTTTCAAGAAAGGTTTAACACTGAAAATAAGGACTGGGAAAGCACTCAACCCACTTGTACAGCAACCATGAACTTAACCTTAGTGCTTTAGGTTTACCCACTACCTCCAAAAAAAAGACAATTACACACATTTAAAACTATTATTTGAATTGCAATTCTTATTCTATTATGTAATTCTTTCTCATCACTAGCACCTGAGATTAACTGAGAATTAAGGTAAATTCATTTATGACACACCTTGAAATTCATGTGAAGAACATGAGTCATGTCCCTAGCTTCCTGATATTTTCCACTTGAATATTATCCAGTGCTGAAAGCATTTTGCATTAATCCCCTGAGTTCAGAGCTGAAGCACTTATAAGTCTTCTGGAAGATGAGTTGTGCTAACATGTGCATGTGGCAAACAAGCAAAGTTACATAAAGTGATCTCTCCTGAGTGTCATTCCTCATCTCTGTGCAAAACACTTGTTCTGTCTTCTGTGCACTCAGCTGGCCTCAGGGTGGTCCAGGGAGACAAGAACCCATTAGATATAAGGAGTTACTGTTTATTGAGTACAATGTGCCAGGAGATGTGCTGCTCTTCCAGTTACATGAACCCATCTTCTGCTTCTCATTAGCACTGGTGTCCCACTGACTCTGGGAAAACCATCTTCTAGTCTTCCTGTGCTCCATTTGGCTCATCTGTAGAGTGAGGGTGAAGCAGAAATTTTCCAAACACCCTTCACCTCTCAACCACAGGAAGTCTAAATCAGTATGAAAAGTTTTGCTGTCACTCTGAAAGTACCCTCTTCATATCCACTGCCCAAGGTCAGGAAACAGGAGCCAGTAGCCAAGAGCCAGGAGTCAGGAGCAATCCAATAGGGAAATTGAGAAAACAATAGCCAAGGCCCAACATCCCCCTTTCCCTGGAGTATCCTCAATGCCAAGCACAAAGCTCAGAGCCAACTCTTGTTCTTTGTCTTCTGAATTGAGGCTCAGAAGGGAGCTTCCTTATGGCCACTACTGTTAAGAGATATGGACACATCTTTGATGAAGCTTATGATATTTAGGAGTGTGAGCAATTCTTGTCCCATCTGCTGTCATGGCCCTCCTCCCAAAATAAGGGAAGGGTTTACTGGCCCATTGCAGGCATTTAATAAATACTGAATGAATGGATGAATGAATGAATAAAGGAAGATCTAATGAATTAATGTTGGGTAGGTAGATGGATGGATGGCTGAATGGGTGGATGGGATTAATGGGTGGATAGATGGGTATATGGGTGGATGGATAAATAATGACTGATCAGAAGCTATGATTCCATGTTCTAAAACTGTTTCTATGTCTAAAAAACTGTGGGACCTTGAAAAGCTATTTAAATTATCTAGGACTTAGTTTCTTCCTACGAATGTCAGTCATAAAAGTCTCTACCCTCATTGGGTTACTGTGAGGATTAAAACAGATAATCTTCATAAACTGACCAGCAGTTTGGCCAGCACACAATCAGCATTAATAAATGTAAGCTATTCTTATTAAAATATTGAGTGCAAATCATTTTATTAGAAAGAAAACCTTTAATCAGTCTAAATAATGAAAAAGCATGGCCTACCCAAAATTCAAACCTATAGAATTAGCAGCACATTGTTGGCTCTCCACCCCTAGACTAGTCAGGAAACACCCATGGGAGGTATTTGAGAACACTACCTGTACACTAAACAACAGGAGCTCAGTGAAGATTTATAATGTGAACAGATGGAATGAACTGCATGAGTGAGAGAATAGTGAACAGATGGGAAAGAATGAAAAGGAGTGAGAGATTGTCTAGTTCAGTGGTTCTCAACCAGGGGTGATTTTGCGCCCCAGAAGATATTTGACAATATCTTGGGACATTTCTGGTTGCCACATGTGAAAGGTACTATTGACCTCTAGTGGGTAGAGGCCAAGGATACCTCAACAACAAACAGAAAAGCCCATTACAAAGAATAATCCAGATCAAAATATCAATAGTACAGAGCTTGAGAAGCCCTGGTCTAGTGCATTGAATTTAAACTCAGCTCCTCCATAGTATGTCTGTGTCTCTGTGTACTAGTATATCTGTGTGTGTGCATGCATATGTGTGTGTGTGTGTGTGTGTGTGTGTGTGTGTGTGTAGGTCTGCCTAAAATCCAACTGTTCTAAGGACCACTTTGTATGTATAGTATACCTTTTTATGTCCTTATGGATTTATATCCATCTCACTGCCAGAAAGATCCTGCTATAATAAGTCAAGTTGAAATTGCCCATGGGAGTCACATTTCTGAAAGACTGCAAAAGTTGCTTGTTTTCCAATATAAGGAAACCACAGTATCAGAATTTCAAATTGTTAAGGGGCCCTTTTGACTTGGGAAAGCAGAAAATCACCTTATTAAAATGTAATTTGGCCATGGAGTATTTTAATAATGGATTAGTTTAATAATAAAAAGATTTCAATTTTGTGAACATTTTCTTTAGCAATTTGGAGATTTTCAAATAAACCAGCAGAAATAAGACAATGATTGGCTATATGTTGGTCTCTACTGCCACAAAGCAGTCTGGAAATGTGTCTGTGGGTTAAATTTTAATCTTAAAATTAGAAAATTTTAAGAGCTATCATGGAAATTCGTTCTTGAAAAACCTCCATTACAAAATTATGGGGCTGCTGATTCAATCCAGACACTGAGATATATAATGCACTAACTGAATTTTATTTCTGCTTGAATTTCTGTAGCATGGACATTCTGCCCCACCAACATGAGACCTTGCCTTTCTTCCTGTCCTGGTATAACCCTACCCCCACCCCCATCTCACCACACACACACACACACACACACACACACACACACACAATTATAACTATTGACATGGAGAGTTCATATTGACATTACTTAGAAAAACTACCATTGTTATATTTTATTTGTATAGAATACTATCTGGCTCACAACTATGACGGTGTTTTTTCTGAGAGTCTGAGCCCCAGAAATGTGTTTTATGTCATTTTAAAAGAACGAGAGACAAGTGCTTCTTTGACTTGGTAATATTTATTCAATATTCCTTGAAATTAGCAAGAATCGGAAGAAGCACATATCGATCAAATACAGCCACAAAAAAGTCCTCGTATAAATAAAGATGCACTATGAGAAATACTCGCTATGGAAGGGGCTGATACCCTCTTACATTTACTATCTCTTAGCAACAGACCATTCCAACGTAAATGTAACTTGCTCACAATTAAAAAGACCTTGACTTTTCAAAGGAAATACAGATCCAATTCTACTGCAATTGCCTCACGAGGCCCTTCCACTTAAGTATATTTTCAAGGCCTAGTTTGATGACTGTTACAAAAACAAACTCAAAAGAATGGTTTCCACAGGTTCAACAAAACAGTGCAGAAATAAGTTACTTACCCATGCACAGAATAAGGCAAAGGCTAATTTCATTCAGGTTAGGAATAGTAAAGGTAACTACTTTCTTTTTCACAAAACAGACATTTCAGACTTCTTTTTAAGTCACGGGGATACTGTACTACGCGTCATTCTCTACATGTTTCCTAACTCTACTCAGAAAGCCACACTGACACGTTAACTAGAAACTTCACCTTGATTAGACTATTTCTGTCACAGCCACAGAAATTAATCTGGGTGTCATGATAGGGTCTACCATGGAAAGACCACACACTAGTCGAAGCTTATGTTTTAGAGGGATGAAAGTATATTAAGACGTAGTCTATGGACTCCTCAAATTCCATGTTTAAAATATGTGTTTCAAACTAAAAGCTGCAGAAAATTAGTTCTTACATATTCTACCGAAAACTCTTGAGCAGCTAACATTTTAAATTTCTTAAGCTTTTTATTTTCTTAAAAATATTTCAAGGAGTGTAGTATCCCATCTATTTGAAAAATAATCCAAAAAATGACTACAAATCTTTTGTTTTAATCAGTGTGACCAAAGGTTTGTCATCGGGGCTGTAGTCCTCATAGGCGATGGGGGTCACGTCGTACATCGCAGGCCGGGATTTCTTTCCAAACCTAAAAGCACAGGAGAGAGGACTCTAGTTAGGTACAAGTTGGATCTCAAGTCCTATGAAAGGCAAATGGTAAGAATAACTTATATTCAGGAGTCAAATGGAACTATAAAAATACCCTAACAGATATATTCTTTAGCAAGAACAGAAATTTAAGACTTCCTCATAGTAACACTGAATGAGTAAAAATATTAGTCTTCGGTGCAGGAGGCAAGAAATGGATTACACAAAACACAGAGTCCAAATTAAGGTTGAAGCTTGTAGGTTAAATCTTGGCAAAGCAGTCAGGCATGACAGCTCCACAATAGGATTTAAAAGGACATATATTGATTTATCTTTTTCTTCTGAGACCCGTAAGGATGTGGAGAGGCAAGTTTATTTTACATTCACTCTGGAGCTTGAAATGCGCAGTGGCAGGGTGGTCTTCCCCGGACCACGGACAGACAGCCTCTCCTATGAGACTCGCCAGAGGGCTGTGAAGGCTCAGTAATCTTCTGAGGCCCCAAGACAAGAAGGGGTGAGGGAGGAAATGACTTCAAATAGGTGTTTGTCCACAAAATGTGCCATCCAGTCCCACTTGCCTATTACACTCATGTATACACACGCCATTGTTTCTTCCCTGAGCACAGAGCCATTGTCCCAACAGATTTGTATATTTCAAAATCTCCTTGACAGCAGGGCTGACAAACAGAAGCCCTGGGCGTCAAAATCCAATTTCAGGACTTCCTGAAAAGTCAGAATCAAGATGGTGATGATTACAATTCAGCCAGTTCAGCTCCTGGGTGGTCTCTTCCCACTTAAGACTTTACCTTCCCCCAAAGCCCCTGCAGTGCAGTGGGATTTAAAGGATTGAACCCACTCCCCACATGCCTTTTATAGAAAACAGGTTTTAACTGTTTCAAGTCCACTGAGGCCCATTCAAAAAGAAATTTTAAAGAAGCAAACATTTTTTAAAGGTGGCGAGGATGAGCACCCTAAGATATTAGGGGCTAATTTACAGTGGCTTACACGTCATCTCCCCCCTATCCTACTTCTTCCTTTGAAGTCTGTCTTCTCACGTACAGAGACGAAAGGCAAAATCGAATGGGAAATGAGAAACATTGCATTTTTATGTGATATTTTATTTTTAAATGTTTTTCTTTCATGTATTCCTGTTCATTCAAGATTTACTGGCCTCCAGGAGCACAAAGGCATAAACCATGCCTGGTGGGTGCCAGGCTCATGCAGAGGCAAAGAGTTAAAGCATGCTGCCACCGAGAAACCACAGCTATTACTGCAACGTTCAAGTCATCAATAAACTCGTGTCTAAAATGTGAAGACTCACCAAAGGTCTGAGATTCTGTGTGCATAAACGTGTACAGCCTGCTGCGGTCTGTGTGTCTCAATTGAGGGAGGCCTGCATAATCTGAGACTCAGGAAAGGGGCACCAGTGTAAAAGCCAACTTTTACTCAACCAGTGTTAACACTTTCTCCCAAGTCTGAAAATTTCAGAGAGTACCTAAGGTATAAATATTTGAACAATGTATTTCTCATAAAATAGCCAGCTACAATGGTAATAATGTACCACGAATAATATTAATTTTAATTGTATATTTTTGAAGCTATGGAAAAGTATAATGTGGACCAAGCCAGTTGCAGTCTGTATGGCCCACAAAGTGTAGCATTTTACAATCCCAGATGAAGGCCACAGTCCCTCTCCCCAAAGGATTTAGTATAGTATTGGCCACGTTAACCATCATGGAAGCACTAACAGAGTCATGGGAATAGTAGTATCTCTGTGACAGGCATCTAAACATCATATTTGGTGATAAGTCTTATGTACATTATTTCACTAAAAAACAAACAAAAAAATTCCACAACTACTTATAAGGCAGATCACAGAGTGCACATTCTTCTAGTTCATATTCCCCTGAAAGCCAAAAGCTAAAACAATGCCGCAGAGAATGTCAGATGGGTCTGACCTTGAAAAAGGCCCACATTGGGAGATGGTATTTGAGAGAAAGTGACTATTTCCTCTTGTAGCCCTCCTTTCTTTTTATTTTCTGGGATCAGGCACTTACAGCTGGTGGAGCAGCAAGCAATCAGGTGTGACCAGAACTTGGAGAGTCACGTCATCGCTCCCACCAGCCAGTCAGTTATAATTTCTCTCCAACCTGACGGTAAGCAAAGCAGCTACAGAGCTGATGACTTGTAGGAAAAGGGGTTACTTCTCAACCCAGCACCAGCACCAACTGATTGCTGACATCACAGTCACCACACACTTCCTCAGTCACTCTTAAATGTCGCAGGTGACCCACTCAGTTTTCGTCCTGTGTGGTTGTTAAGCTGCAGTCATTCTTATCCAATGACATGTCCAGACTAGCAACGGGAGGACAGGCTACTGCTGAAGACTAAGAGAAAAATAATATCACAAGCATTGTGTTTTGTCAGTGCTTTCTAGGGTTTCCAGGAAAAAAAGAGCAAAAAGGGCCCACCAGCCAGATACCCAGCTTGGGCCTCCAGAGGGCCATGCTGTAGAAACCACAGGTTGTAATTACATAAGCCTTCAGATGGGAATGTTCCCAGAGATGGGGTAGGTACTATTTTGACTTCAATGGCTTTATTTGCAGTCACTGGTGCATGGAGTAGCTTGTTGGTTAGGAATTCTGCAATAAATATTTTTTTTAATAAAAATTGGCACCAGGTTTAATAATAAGAACCAGGTTTGTAAATGCTTTCAAGTTTATCCTTTTCTTCCAAGAATATTCGGTAAATATCTTTCCAGGGGGCTATATAATCAGGAAGCCCAGATGGATCTGTTTTAAACTATTCTGAGGCCAAAATAAAATATTCTTCCTCTTGACTGCAATCGCATCTTACTTATCTAGGAGTCCTCTCGCAGTGGAAGAATCCAATTGCCTCGGAAGTGGGGGGTAGTCTTATACAGCGAATATAGGCCCAAACCTATGTTTTAACTGTAAAATTAGGGGTCGTCTTATATGCCGGAAAATACAGTAATACAAACTCTATTTTTTAAAAATAATTTATTTTTCAATTACATTTGACACCCATATTATATTAGTTCCAGATGTACAACCCAGTGACTAAATCCTATATAATGAAAGGGAAATATGCAAATTGATCCTAATGGCAGAACGACTAGGAATGACTGATCACTATGATATGCACTGACCACTGGGGGGTAGATGCTCAATGCAGGAGCTGACCCCCTGGTGGTCAGTGCACTTCCACATGGGGAACGCCATTCAACCAGAAGCCAGCTCATGGCTGGCAAGCACAGCAGTGGTGGTGGGAGTCTCTCCTGCCTCCAGGGCAGTGCTAAGGATTTCTGACTAACAGTGCGGGGAGCGGGCCTAAGCCATTAGTCAGATATGACATCCCCCAAAGGCTCCCAGGCTGCCAGAGGGATGTCTGACTGCCACCTTATGTCTGATTCCCCAGGGAGCAGGCCTGACAGGTGGACATCTCCCAAGGGGTCCAGGACTGCAAGAGGGTGCAAATCAAGTTGAAGGACCATGCCCCTCTGTGCATGAATTTTTGTGCACTGGGCCTGTAGTATTATATAACATATTAAGTTATCATTCTGAAAAGTCTAGTATCCATCAGACACTATACATAATTATTATAATATTAGTGACTATATTCCTTGCGCTGTACCTTATATCCCTATGACTATTCTATAACTACCAATTTATATTTATTTTTTTCCCTTCACCTTTTTTCACCCTTTTCCATCTTGCAATTGTCAAAATTTTCTCTGTATCTGTGAGTCTGTTTATCTTATGCTTGCTTATTTATTTTGTTTTTTTTAGATTCAATTGTTGATAGATATGTTTTTATTGCCATTTTGTTATTCATATTTTTATCTTTTTTCCTTCTTCTTTTTAAAGGAAACCCTTTAACACTTTATGTATATGGGTTTGGTGGTGATGACCTCTTTTAGCTTTGTCTGAGAAGCTCTTTATCTGCTTTTAATTCTAAATGATAGCATTGTTTGGGTACAGTTATCTTGGTAGTAGGTTCTTGCTTTTCATCACTTTGAATAGTTCTTGCCAATCCCATATAGCCTGCAAATTTTTTATGGCAAAATTAGCTGACCTCATGGGACCTCCCTTGTAGGTAACTAACTGCTTTTCTCTTGCTTCTTTTAATATTATCTTTTTTTTTAACCTTTAGCATTTAAATTTTATGTATTTTTAAATTTATGTATTTTGGTGTTGGCCTCTTTGTGTTCATCTTGTTTGTGACTCCCTATGCTTCCTAGCCTTATATGTCTAGTTCCTTCAGCAGGTAAGGGAAGTTTTCCATCATTATTTTTTCACATGGGCTTCCCAACAGCAAATGATAGCTGTTAGCCATTTTTAAAGTTATCAACTGGAATAATTTATATCTATGCTGATTGTTTGGAGAGTAATATAGCTAAGGACATTCCAAATATAAATCACCTAAAATTTTTCATTCAGCGATTAAGAATCAGATATTTATCGCACAGATAAACACAAATTGATAAAATCAGAAACCCAGCAACCAATGAAAAGGGGTTTGCTTATAAAGCTGTCTCATTATCAACTCCCAACAACATCCAATAGATTCAATAGTACCCTGAACCTAGGTTTATTCTGTGAAACCCTCTTTGTGGGTGTAAAGTCCTATGTACAATATAACCCTGGTCCCAAGAGTGCACATGTGAAAGCAGCCTGTCCCTTTCCCCTCCTGCTGCCCCTGCAACAGCCCACCTGGCGTGCCGTATGGAGGCGATGGCGTTGCTGAACTCGCTGTCGATGCTGCGGCAGTTGTAGAACTCCTCATAGGCCGGCCTGGAAGAGCCCTGGTACTCGATGCGGCTGATGCGGCAAATCCCCACAATCAGGATGATCAGCATCAGGATGAAGGCAACACACAGGGCCCCGATAATGATGTAGAGGGAGTGCCGGGGCATGTTGGTAAGACTCTCTGCCATGTGCCCGGACTTCCACTGGAGGTCTGAAACAGAGTCGATGGTCAGAAATACAAGCAGTGTAGGCAGCTCATCAGGCCTGGGATAACGGGCCAAGCACATAACCCCGTACAGTTGTCTTTCCACTGTCCTGGCCTTCTGGTTGTGCACACCCTGTGTGCACACAGTTAATATGATGTGTAAACTCTTTATGTGGTTATGCATCAACCATAAGATTTCACAACCCGTGTGGCCCTGCTACAGCAATCAGATCTGAGCCCTCCACCAAGTTGGAGCAGAAAGTGGTACTGGCTGCCTTTGTGTTGATGCTAAATGGGTGTTAGAACAGACTCTGTGAGTGTTGGACTCCAGCCTACAACTGAATTTTTTCAGAGAATGTCAAAATACTTGGAAATCAAGTGAGTCACACTCCTGTTTCAGCCAGAAAAATGAGTTGTCTCTCTCAATGTGCACCAGGTAATGCCAAATGCAATGACTGCCGTTTTCTGGATTGAATCTTGGTTTAAATTTCACAAAACACATTCTCTCTTCCATTATGACCATTTGTTTGCAGTGATTTCTGCCCGTTGTCCCAAGCCTGATGAGCTGCTTGTATTTCTGACCATCGGCTCTATTTCCTAAAACTCTGAGTTCCAAGATGATTGGACTTTTAGGAAAACTCAAAATTTCTCCTAAAACCTCTGTTTCCTTCTGCCTCACCCAGTGTTTTTCCCACCTTTACCTTCATCTAATGCTTCTCTGATAAGTGAATGTGGCTGCTTTGCACACTAATCAAGTTTAGAGCCAGGTTTGATCTGAATAAATCCAACGCTTGGTCTGAGGGGCAGCAAATTTATCTGCACCAGGTGGCTGTAGCTGCTGACTCTTGGTCCAGGAGTGTTCCTCGTAAGTCATTGCTTTGCTGCATCCTGGGAGTCCCACTGCATGAATCATTTACTATAATGGCTATAGTATGGCTGGGGAAGAATCGCACACCAGCACATGCAGCCCCAGCAGGTGCATGACCAGGAATGTATGCACACAAACTGTCCAGGAAAAATGTCACACATATGGGCCTGAGGGATAATTTGTGTTTTGGTTTAAATTCAATTTGTTTGAGGTTTTGTATTTTCCAAACTGATTTCACATTTAACATTTTCACTAATTGAATGCATAAATCCAAGAGAACCTATTCTCCAATTTCTCACCTGCAGAAAGAATATCAGTAATCCAATAGTTTGACCACAGATTCAACTGTTCAGGGTCTATTATTGTGTAACTGTCAGCCAACAAGGTTGACTGTAATTCTAACTGTATGAACCTTATAGCTTCTACACAGATGATATAAAACACCACTAAGTAAAAACTAATAGGAATTCTTATTTTTAGGCCTTGATTCTAGAAATGCAAACATTTTATAAAAATACACACATACCCCCCAAAAACTGTGATCAGTTCCAAGGTTGTAAGAATAAGTTGCAGTAACATTTTACCAGGGTTGTTTGTTAATTTCAAGAATTTAGGGTTTGCATTTGCCTCAGAATATATACAGAACACCAGTTATTTGAATAGTCCTTTTCAGGTAATTCTGGATCAATTTTGTTGATCGTTTTGATACATCTTTATGATCTACTTGATTACTGCTTCTTATTCCTGATTGTGGGGGGGGGGCAGATAGTATATCTAATGGGGCAAATTTCTAAGCAACTTTCATTATTAGGGTAAACACTGGCCCACAGGAGGTAGCCATGGAAATGGAACCACTAAAATATGATTAATTTGCATGTAAATTCTATTGAGGTAGCAGGATCTCTAGTGATGGCTGCTGGAAGGACTGATTCCATTTCACATGCAGTGCCCTTCACTGAGGTCTCAGATATCAGGATGTGCATGAACTCAAATTGAGATGTGTCTGCTAAGAAGAAGAGATTTGTGCTAAAATCCAAGGAAAGAGAGCTCCAGGCATAAGGAACATGCCAAGACCCTGAAGGCAGGAATAAACCTGATCTGCTCAAGGAAAAGAAAGCAGGACAATGTGGCTGAAGCAGAGTGAGTAAGAAAGGGAAGTGGGCGGTATGACCTCCAGAGGCAGAGGTCAGGCTGATGGAGGCTCATTTACTGCCTTCAACAACTCAGTAGCTCTCCAGACCACATAGTTGTGTGGGCTTTAGTTTCTCTGTTCTGTGTGTATCTGAGCTTTCCTGTTGAGATCTACTAACCTGAACTTGTACCATTTAGGCACCCTCTTCATGGTTTCTGGCTACTTCAGAAGCTCAGAGATGCTCAGGGTTATTAAGAAACCTCTGTGATCCATGGCTCACACAGGACTGGGGGTCTCCTAGACCTTCCCTGTCCACTGACAGGCCAGATTCTGCTTGCAAACCTGGTCCTTGGATTCCTCCATTTGATTCAGATCCAGACTCTAGAGCAGGAGTGGGGAATGTCCGGCTGTGAGCCTTATAAGGTCCACAAAATCATTCTCTCTGGCTCTGGCAAGGCATTAGGGGTGAGTTAATTAAATGCTTGACCAAATATAGCAGGCTAGTTTTTAAGCTGATAATTTTGCATGCCCTGTGAATGATATTATAACTAGCCAAATGGCCCTGGGCAGGAAAAAGGCTCTCCACCCCTGTTCTAGACACTGTACACCAGTTCCAGCTATATGTCATCACAAACCTCCCACACATGTTCTCCACTGTTATACTCAGGTCAAGGTGACGTACCCAACACTGGGACTAATTTATGATAACATTTATTTAACACATTGGGTAAATGCGGAGATGCAAATGAGATCAAGTGGAAAGTGTTCTTCTAGGCAAATGAACAGCCCAAGTGTGGACAAAGATGTATGATGTGCCCCAACACCTTCGGCTGCTCATGGTGGTCCATGCCTTGCAGGTGCATTGGCTAAAAAGACAATTGCAAAGGTCCATCTTCCCAGGAATAGCTCATAGCATAAGAGCAAAATAGTATAAAATTAAAGAGAAAGAGCAGCTAGCATTTATTTACTGCTTATTGCATAGCAGAAATATACACACATTTGCCTCCTTTAGTCTTCACACCAACCTTACTATAACCATTTTACAAATGAGAGAAACAAGGCTCCCCAGGATAAATGTGTCTGGATGGGTCACATAGCTAGAATATGAAGCCAACTTTTGTCCTTTTATTATTTGTGCATGTTTTGCTAATATCATCATCACTGGGAGGAATTTAGATTTTTAGATTTTTTTGTAATCATAAGATTGTACTTCAAAACTTCTTGAGGGTGTCCCATGTGTTCCTGACTTCTTATTCATACTTTACTATGTATTTATCTTTATAATTAAAAATTTAAAGTTATAAATAGATGTTGTTCTGAGAAATGTGTCATTTCATACAATTATCAAATTTCAGAACAAAAAGTGGTCCCATTTTATGGATGAGTACACTGAGGCTCAGCACAACCAAATAAAGCCGCACAATGAGTATCATGGCCAGATGAGAAGGTCCTATTGATCCAGGTCTGTAATCCCTTCCACCAAAGATCCCAGCAGAGTGGACTTAACATCCTATACCAATATTAGTTTTAGCATCCTACTCAAATCATAGCACTCAGCATTTTTACTATTGGAATCTCTTTTTGTCTCTTTCTTCAAGAAGAGAGTATTTATCATGTTCAACAAGGACAGTTGGTCTTAAAACCATTCTGTTTGGGAGAATTTGAGAAAGTTGAGGGAGAGGCTTAAAAATAATTACCTTCTTTCCCTCTCAAGCTCTGAGCCAAGAGCAAAGACAAAGAGTGAGCAGATAAGAGCCCAAAGGGTACTTCACTATTGATCAAGTTGATGGAGAATGTGGTCCACACTTGTGAATAACAAAGCTTCCTAACATGGACCAACCCCCACCTTAGACACACGCTAAGAATTAGCCATCCAGCCACAGGCCATGTGGACCACCAGTGAGGGGGCTATTCTTAGAACAGTAATAGCATAAAGGACTACAGGCAGCAGAAGGGCCTGCTCAGAAGTAAGACAGACAGACAAGCACAGAGGCACAGACAGGAATCCCTGTAAGTATTTTCCCCCTTCCAACTCACATAGCAGATAAGCTGACTTTACATGATGATGAGTCGGCCAGGGGTGAAAGGCCCCAGGAGGGAGCTTTTATGAAAGGTTCAACCCCCTTGACCCATTTAAATAAGAATAAAGGCAGCTTTCAAAGTTGAATTTTTAGTAGTTTACAAACCAATGGAAATCCCAATGCCTTGTCAGTTCTCACTTTCACCCCAGTCCTAGTAGACATGGTATTTTAATGCAAAAAAAAAAAAAAAAAAAAAACCATGATGTGACATTTTCAAACTTCTGATAGTTCATCTTTAGAGAACGCTTGGCTCTAAGCAGCTCAAAATGTTTTTCAGATTTTCTTTTCCACTCATCCTCACTGGATTTTTTTTCTCCAGGCAACTGATGGAACCTAATATGTTTGAAGACATACATGCAAAGCGAATTTACAGTTGGTGTTTTCTTTTTTCACATTTTCAACACAGAGCCTCTGTTTTGTGCTGCGATTCTAACACGTCTCTGTTGAGCGCATTTTTGGCTGTAGTAGCAGCAGTGAACTCTGGATGACATCTGCACATTCTCATCCCGTGGAAGGGCTGCCTTCAGACTCAGGAAGGAGTGGGAGCAGCAGAATGCGGGGGTAGAGGGGGGCAAAACTGTGACACTGAGATGTGAGAGGCATGGTGACTCAGGCAGCACTGCCTCTGAGAGTGACCTGGCTGGGCACGGCCAGCATCCCTTTCTTGGTGAAACAAAACTGGAGGTCTGAATATAATAGCTGGGAGGCAGAAAAACTTACGGATTTCACAGTTTGCTCCCACCCAGCCATGGGGACAGTGGCAAGTATAACCATTGGGCTGGTCCAGGCAGGTGCCGGCATGATGGCAGGGGTTACTATCGCATTCATTTATGTCGATGTCACACTCTTCGCCTGAGGAGATAAAGAGAAGTAGCTGTGAGACGATCAGCTGCATCACCCATCGCTTCTCTAGCAAAGCAAAGCTCCGGATCTGAGCCCGGGGTTCATGATTTCCAGCAATGGAGCCCAACTGTTGTTGGTATAAAGTGCAGAACTCTCCCAAATTCTGGTCAGGTGATCTTTTACTTAAATAAACTTCTTTTAAAAGCACAAAAATAGCCTTGGTAAAAAGGACTTTTTTTAAAAAAAAAATCTATTGAACTAGTTAACTAAAGCTGATTCCCGTGTCTGAACAAATTTTCCAAAGTTTATTGGGAAAGCAAATTTGGGTTCCTGATTTCATTAAAGAACTCTATTTTGTATTTTGTCAGCTTAATCTTCTTATTTTTCTGAAACTGCAGATAGTTGAAAACTCAAAGTTTATGGTTGTTTTGTCGCCAAATGTTTGAGCGTGAGTCAGGACATCTGACTATTTTCTGAATTCTTGTAGAGCACAGCTGTGTGCCTAGACTGAGTCAATTATGAAAATTGACCCCAGTTTCCAAATTCCTGGGTATGCTCCTGGGATGGGCCGAAATGCTCAGGAAGGGCATTAGCCACAAGGGGTGACAATTGTGAAATCTGGGTTGACTTAAGTTCAACATAATCTTCCATGAGCAATGATGGCCCAAAGGAAATTCATATCCACTCTAGTCTGTCCTTACTCCATAATGAAAACTGTGCCCTGGTGTCTTGACCCCACCTAGACCCAACATTTCCCCCTTCAGGGAGTGCCTGGTTTAAACTTATAAACCAGAACATGGGAAGATGTCACTGTGATTCAAACATCAATTTACAGGCAATAGCTTGTTTTTTTTAGCAGTTATAGGCACAAAACTATCTTCCTGTGAATTAAAGCCATAGGATGAGTCAATACCAACTGGGTGTGCTTATGAAATTTAAAGGTATCTCATCAAAGCTAAATAAAAGAGGATAGTTCAAATTGAAGCACTCTCTCTTAAAAGTTTGAAAAAAAATTGTTTTGATATATTCCTCCAATTGTTTAAATAAATATAAAAAAGCTCCTCCTAGCATTATGATAGTCGTAGACTAAAGAAAATGAGCAAAATCAATATTTTGTCCATTTTCAAAAGGCAATATTTCAGTGTACACTTGGGTAATTACTTCCAGGCTGACTTAATTAGCAATGAAGTGCTTTTCTGTCTGCTATTGGTTTACCTCTCGTTTATAAAACCACCATATGTCAGCCACAGCCACTTTAGAGGAGGAATCTCACACTAAAATATTTCACATCTGTTTCATTTCACACTCTTTTCATACCTAGCATCTGACTCTTTCATTTTTAAAGTGGAATCTGTCCAACAAAACATTTACTACTTCTAGATCCTACTAAGTTGCCTATAATTCAGTAGTGTCTAAGCTGAGTTTGTTTCCTGCAGTAAATATAGTCATTTACATCAATAGAAAAGACATAAAATTGATTTCCTCTTACTAACCTATTTCAAGGGTTTTCTTTCTATTAATGGGGCAATTGCTCTAAGTGAGAAGGATATAGACTAAACAGTTACAAACAAGCATTATAAGGTAGACTAGTTGAAGGAGCATAAATAAGGATGTACTACAAAATATTAAAAGGATGAAATAAAAAACCTTGACAAATATATGCATCAGTGCTGTTTTCCAACCATTTAGGAAGACAAGCTTAATCTATTCAACAACAGCTTTCTTTAGCTGGCAATGGAAATACTGCATGATTCTGAAATAAGATGTCCCATGATCTTTGCAACAATAGCAGCAGAAACAACCTAACTTTTTCCTACTAATTCCTTAAAGCAATGGTTCTTAACTTTCCTAATGCTGTAACCCCTTAATACAGTTCCTCATGTTGTGATGACCCCCAACCATAAAATTATTTTTGTTGCTACTTCATTACTGTAATCTTCATACTGTTATGAAACATAATGTAAATATCTGAGTTTTCCGATGGTCTTAGTGGACCCTGCTAAAAATACTGCTATTGAAGGGTTGCAGCATTAGGAAGGTCAAGAACCACTGCCTTACAGTACAGGTAGTCCCAGGATTGTATGTCCAATCCAGGACTGGGAGTCCTGCTCTGGTCCTGAGCTTCGCCAGGGAGGTAAATGCCAAATTCAGGATCCAGAGCCACCTTAATATGTGTATTGGTTCTTAGATCTTTCAGGGTCTCTAAAACAGTCAGGAGAAATCCAAAACCCCTAGATTTGTCTATTCTTGGGACTCGATAGATTGGATTTGGTAGGAATAGAGAAATGGAGAAAATAGGATGAATTCTTTCTACAGATACTTGTCAAATATCAAAAACCCAGAAAGAGTCCCGAATCTATTCCAGTCTGACTTCCATCACCACAGAGTTCTTAGAGCTCTACTGGAGATTAGATGACATTAGTTAATAATATAAACTTCATGCCAGGCAAAGGCCCAAAGAGCTAGCAGCTATTTCCACACATGTGTGTTCTGGGAGAATCCTGGAGTGATGCACAGTGCTCAGAGACCTGTAGATTTACTCTATTGGCCTATTTCACAGTCTAACACTCCCATGTTTCTAGTTGAGTCAGTTATACCCCAGCTGGCTCTCTGATGCCTTCAGTGAGTCACATGCTGGTGGAAGGAATATGAAATGACTCTGATGATGGAGCCAGTCAAGAAAAATGTCAATCAGAAGACTCCCAAAGAGGACTGCTCTTTTCTGCCTTACTGAGCTCATGTTTACTGCCCATCAGTCATATGTGAGGTATTTGAAGAATTATTATGAATGATGAAGAGCAAGTTTGAGTTCATTTGCATTTTCCCATATTGAGAGTATTATGTGTTTTGATGCATTTCAACACCCCACCATTCTAGCTCCAAGCAATGTATATTCTAGCATATTTTACTAGAAAAGTTCTTAGTATGTCATCTTTTTTTACTCATATTTGACTTAATAAATCTTTATGCTTTTGCAGTCTTGAGCCAATAACTTTTTCATTGACTTGCTTACTTTTAAAAAAATTGAGTTGGAGAAAAATCAATTACTTTAAAATCGCTGTTGTGCACGAATAACAGTTGTAAAGAGAATACAAAATGAAGTTTCTACTTGACTAAAGATGAAAATCAGAGTCTGAAACTTAAATCTTTTCAATTGATTTTCAACCTACTACTTTCTAAAAGGCAATATGTAGTGTAAGAATCAAATTTTGTAGTATTTATGCAAGTTTACAAGGGTATTGTTTAATTTTCTATGCTTTCCTCAGATAAATTAAAATTTCAAAAAGATTTAAAAAATTAAAACTCACTGCTATTAGTAAATTCTTGGGCTAACAAAGCCCACATTGAATGATATCAATGATAATAATTATAATTGTAATATCTATTATTAAATATATGACTACTACATGCCCTTCACTGGGCTGGAGGCTTTAACTATGCCTTCATACTTGACAAGCATTTTATTCCAGATGAAGTGGATCTAAAAAAAAGTATTTGGAACTTCTACCATGATGGAAAAACTGGAACCTGTTTTGACCTTCCACTATAAAAAATTAGACAAGTGGATGAAATATGTATTTTTAAAAAAACACTTTTAAGACATTGGACAACAGGCAGAGCATGACCGTGACTCTGCCTGAAAGAAGGAAACGAAACAGCTGAGTACCGCCAGCATCCTGGCTTTCTGCCTGGACCCAATTTAGAGCACAATAGTTTCACTGAGCTGCAGAGAACTGGATTTGGTGGGGGCCAAGATAGCTGTAATTTGCAGGACAGACTAACTCAAAAGATAGAGCCACTCAAAAAAAGAGCATCAGAAATATGCGTGTCCCTTGAGTTTGTTACTGAATGTTGTATATGAGTCAATGGAACTCCACGGGTCTACAAACAAGATGAAGGACGAACAAATCCTAAAGCTCACAGAGGACTGGGAGGGATTCAAACTTTCACAAGTCTGAGTGCAGGTATTTTATTGACCAGCCAGTATATTTATTTGCCTTAGCAGTAAGGTAGGACTATCCCCTAAGTAATAGCTCATCCTCCAAAATGTAAAAATAAACATTGAAAGGATCAGTCAGGTTGCCAAGTAACTTACCTACCTGCTACCAAAAAAAGGCAGCTCTCTGATAAGAAAGACAATAAATCCAATCACTCAACAGCTTAACTAACAATGGCCAGCATTCAACTAAAATTATTAAACATGCAAAGAAGCAGATACATGGAAACCATAACCAGAAGAAAAATCAGTTCGAAAGGAAGAGTTCCAGAAGTAAGAGATGATGATGAGTAAACAGAAATTTCCTCAAAATTTAAATGAAAACATGAAAGAAATAAGGGTAAAATGGAAATTATAAAAAATTGAATGGAATTTATAGATATAAAAAATACAATATAAAATTAAAAACAAAATAATATAGAGTGATAGTAATAGATTAGATGCTGCAGAGTAGAAGATTTGTAAACTTGAAAACAGAGCAACAGAAGCTAGAAAAACTAAAGCTCAGGGGGAAAAATGAATAGAAACTCAGTGACCTGGTGTACAACTTTTAGTAGTCTAACACAGATGTAATAAGAGTCTAAGGAAAGGGGGGAAAGAGGCATAACAATAATATTTGGTGGAATAGTGGCTACACTAAATTTGAAGAAAACTATAAAACCAGATCCAATAAGTGCAAAAAATCCCAAGCAGGATAAATACAAACGAAATCACATCAAGGCACATTATAATCAATTTGCTAAAAGCCAGCAGCAAAGGAAAAATTTTAAAAACAGCCAGAGTGATGGAAAAAAAAGATGGAATGTTGCTCCCAAAAAGATGGAACAGTTTCCCTATTCCTCCCACTAAGTACAAGCAAAAGCCCTGAACAAATATGAGAAGATTCTGAGAGGTCAAGAGGAGACAGACTGGATAGGAATTTCGGGGCCCAAGAATGGAGATGGTGAGCATCCTGAGTCTTCTCTTTGCCTCAAATATTCCAGACTAGGTGCTAGAGAAGCCAGCAACCTAG